CGAGCGGCGGACCCAGCGCCCCGTGTCCCCCAGGTGCCTGCCGAGCTGCCCGCCGAGGACGGGCCGGACCTGCTGCTGCTGCTGCTGCTGGAGCCCCGCGAGTTCCTGCGGGGCGCTGCCCAGCTGACACAGGTACTGGAGAGAACACAGCTCTCCCTTGCCCTGGGCTGGGCTCCCCGGCCCGTCTGGTGCTGGCTCAGGCACAGAGCTCCTCACCGGCCCTGGAGAGCTGAGCCCCGAAGAGAGGTCTGGGGCTTGGGCTGGGGGGCGGGTCGTTGCTCACTGCTCAGTAGACTTGAGCAGCGGAGAGAGCACACCCCGGGTCTGCAGGCCAGCATCGTTGACCGTCTACTTAGGAATCGGTCAAGGATCAGGCCCAGGGACAGCAGCCTAGGAACAAGGGAGCACACCCCTTTCTTCCGGATCTGGGGTGTGGTTGGCACTATTAAAGCCCCCTTGGCCTAGTGGGGAGGGGGAGCAAAGACTTTTTTTCAGAGAGCTAGCTGGGAGAGGGAAGACAAGTCATCTGGCGGCTGGGCAGAGCGGTGGCACGCTGCCAGGGCCCTGGGGCAGACACCATGCTCTCCCCCCACCCCCCAGGCCTCAGGCCTCCCTTCCTCTGTACCCTGGATTTCTCCTGAGAGCCCCAGCCGCCCCCACCTGGCTGTCATCGGCCTGGACGCCTACCTGTGGTACCAGGGACCCTAACACACCTGGCAGGGGCAAGGGCACCCCAGGGCCTGCGCCACCGCAGCCCATCCCCCACACACACACCACAGCTGGGCACGGGGGCTCTCGGGCGGCTCCTGACCCCGGGCTTGGGGGTGTGGGGGTCTGGAAGGTCACTTTCACCTAGGTCTCAGCATCCAAGCACCCAGCCGGAGGATCCACCGGAGGAGGCCCAGCAGGAAGCAGCCACCAGCTGGCCCAAGGTGGAAGAGGTGAGCGCCAGCCTGACCCGGGAGAGCTGGCTGGCCTTGGTCTTGGCAGGGACAGGTAAGGCTTGGAGAACAGTTAGGTAGAACTAGGGCTCCCGCCTCCAGCCCCCCTTCTACCTACCCTCCCCAGGCCCTCGTGCTCCTCCAACTCCTGGCCGACATGGACGTGCTGCTGGTGGACTCGTGGCAGGAGCTGAGTCAGCACGTGTGCGCGTTCACGAAGGCCCTGGCCCAGCGCCCCTGCAAGTAAGGGGCTGGACGGGGGCGGGGGGGGGGGCTCTGCCCCGCTGGCTGCAGGGGAGGTTCTAAAGGCCCTGCTCACCTCGTTTTAGGCAGCACCGGGACACCCACGCCTTTGCCTTCTGCACAGCAGGGCGCTGGGCCTCTGGCCAACGAGTGGCCAGAGATGGCTCGGGACTCCGGGGAGTGTGGTGGAGGCAAATCAAGCAGTTTAATCGCGTCAGCCCGGCTGTGGCCCAGGCCGTAGTTGCTGCCTTCCCCTCCCCCCGCCTTCTGCAGGAGGTGAGTCCTCGCTCCCCAGCCCTCCCCTCCCCTCCCCGGGAGAGACCGAGGCCTACCCCGTTCTCTTCTGTGCCTGCCACAGGCCCTCTCTGCCTGCAGCACGGAGCAAGAGCGCCGAGGCCTCTTGGCCGACCTCCCTGTGAATGTCCAGGGCAGGCGACCCCGCAGGGTGGGCCCGGACCTCTCCCGCCGCATCTGCCTCTTCCTCAGCACCACCAACCCCGACCTCCTGTTGGACCTGGGATCCTGACCTTGCCTGCAGGTCCCTGCAGCATGCAGAACACGGCACACGTACACGCATGCACCACACAACACACATGTTCTTACACACCCCAGCCTCTGGGATGGACCAGCGAGACTGAGCAGAGAGCAGACCCTGTCAGGCAGGTGGGCATGAGGCCCCGCACGCTTCCGTAGGCTGCCGTGAACTGTCCCTGGTGGTCAGATGGGAGCTGCAGAGGTGGTGAGGGATGGCGGGAGCCCCGGGGTGCACAGAAGCATGTGCTCCCCTCATGGGGGGGTAGACAGTCAGAGGTCCTGCCGCTGGCCGTGGAAGCCTGATGAAGGGCTGCGTGCCCGGATGGGCAGTCAGACTCAGGGCAGTACCCAAATGCACAACCCCTCCGAGGCGTGGGGCGGGGCGGCCTGGGAAGCAGTAGGAACCTTGAGGGAGAAGCCTGCCCCTCCCAGGCTGAACCCCAGAGGAAAGCACGGGTGCTGGGAGGTCCGGCTTCGCAGGGCTCTTTAATCTTACAGTGTCAGAGGTGGCAGCCCGAGGCTGACCGCAGTTGTTGGGAGCCTCCGCTGAGGGCAGCGGCGGCAACATGCAAGGCAAGTCAGAGAAACCGAGGCCCAAGGGGCAGGAGGCCTGTGAGGCAGTAAGAGCTGTGCCCACGGCCCTCCCGGGCCGCCCACCCCCCTGCTCACAGGCGGGGTCCCGCAGCAGCCCAGGCAAAGGACAGGTGCGGCTCCCCACCACATGGCAGGAGGCCGCCGGGGACCCTGGCATTGTGCCTCTGGAGGTCCTGGAGAAAGAACTGTCCTGCTTCAGCCCAAGAGGGGACAAGCCCAGGGAGCCCTCAGCCCCGCTCTCCCACCTCCTGCTGCCCTGGGAGCCTGGAGGAAAGGAGGGCAGTCCACGCCCGAGGGCAGCGTGCGCCGGGCCGGGTCTGCCAGTCAGGTCCGTCGGCAGCGCTTCCTCTGACAGGGCCTGGTGTCCGGACAGGGGCTGGGCGCGTCGGCGGGGGGTGCGGGG